AACCCTCCTTCACTTGCAAAGAAAATGAGAATTTAATGAAAAGGCCACTGATTGTCTTAATATCTTATTTTATGAAGGTTCTTAGGTTTTGGTTTTGTTCATTTGAATTCAGCTCTAAACAGCTTTCAATTTTAATCTATCCTATAACTCAAGAGAACAATTAAACATCCACTTGTACCTGGACTAATAAGTACTTGTTGACTTCAAAAAACATGTAACAGAGCATTAGGACAAACTAATCCTAGAAACAGGCAAACAGAAAAAAAAAAATCACTGAGCAAGCTTAAGCATCAGTGTAGACTAGGGAATTGTTTGCACTCCAGGATTTGTGTTTTCACAGAATAACATTTAAAATACAGACTAATGGAAAAATTCACAGGCTGCCTCTGTAATCACAGAATGTAATTGACCCTGATTTTGAAAGGTGTGTGGGAAGAACAGCACAGAATGCTGTCCAAAAGAAATGGATAGGAACTAAATTAGCAAAAAGTTGACCATGAAAAACAATTTCAAAGGGAAAAAAGAATCCACGCTTTACAATGTACATTTTTTTAGCTGATGATGTAAGATTTTTCCTTTAGTTGAAAAAACAAAGAATGACTTACCAGGAAAACCCACCCCCCCGAAAAGAGGAATAGTATGCGCTGTTTTGAGAAAAACAATCTCAACATAGTTTTTAAAATACGTAACAGATCGGTTCAACTGTTTAGAGAACAGCACTTTGATACAGCACCGCCTTCCAAGTTTAAAAGATAAAAAAATCCAAACCATTCCCCAAACATGAGTACGTGAAAGGAGTAAGACCCAATGTCTCTTCCTAACATATTTTATTACAGCATGCCTAAGCCTCAGTCAGCACACCTATGGGGAACATTTAATACACTTTCAAATCTACCCTAAAGATGTCATACAAAGATACAACTGATCAGGATGATAAACTTTCCTCACACCACTATATAGACAAGAAGGCTAAAATACATATCACAGGTACATTTTAGTAACACTGGTTGAAGAAGGGAATTCATCAACGGTTCAGTCTATAACATGACTTACATGTAGTTTGTTCCTTGTAACAGGCACTAGCAACTTCCATAAGGATTTGGACGTTGTACGGACAAAAGATAGTATTTGCCAAAACATGCAGTTACGAGAAGGCTGTAATCACACCTAAAAAGCTGCTGGTGTTTATCAAATTACAGTTATATTAAATTAACACGTTATACTATCATGAGAAGTGACCAATAAAATCAGTGGGATGTAGATCTAGACTCACTCCAAAATTGATATTCAACACAACAGGTCTGCTGCTTCAATTGCGCTATGCTTCAGGGATTACTTAATTAAAATTAAAACCTAAAAAACCAGAATTAGCTCCATATGGGTTCTCTATAAACTAAAAGCCCAGGAAAACAGTATGTTACATTCATGGTCCACGCTAAGCACAGACACCTGCCCACACGAGTTCTTCCGGAACATAAAAGCAGATGTCCTGAGTAGTCACACAGCCTGCAACTTCCATCTGAATCAACGGAAGCTGTTTTGCTCAGCATCTTTCTATGCAGAGGTAAGACGGTATCAGGTTCTGCTCTAAAATGACTTGCTTTTGTCATACACAGACTGTCCCTCAAAGTTATCCAAGCCCACTGCAGCTTTAAGGACAATCAGGGTCCCACTAGATATTGTTCCTTTTACAAGAACAAGACAACTTTCTGTTGGCTTATGGATCTGACCAATGCTGGAAGGAGTTAGTAGAAGTGCTTCCAAAACTTGCAGTCTTTTTCTCTTCTTGCATAAGGGAGGAGAAAACCTCAGGTATAATGAAGACAGAACATGCTGAACAACTGCTAAAAGCAGAGATTTCTTGCTCACTAGGATAACAGTAGTTTAAAGCATTCTGAGAGATTAGGGCTAGAATTTTATACACTTAATTAAAAGATTAATCAACTTGCTTAAATCTTTATCTAAGTTGCCAGTTATATCACTGGACATAATCACAAGGGTTTTATGCAAATTAAGTTTCTAAGGATGACTACCTGTAAAAATCTAATATAGAAAATTTTTTCTATTTTGTTTTGAGATTAACTATACGGAAGACAAAGCCATAAAGAGGTGGTTTGATTTTAGGACTTCTCAGATAAATCTACGGTGTTTAACACCTACAAACCTGGTGACACTACAAACATACCTGAAATGTCATTCTGTAACAACTCGATGTTTAGCGCTTAAGCCCATACCCCCAAAGTACACAGAACCTACTGGGAAGTAAGAAGCCTAGCTGGCGCTCAGCTGAAAGCCGATCAGCACTTTGTAGGCTTGAAACCTTAATACTTCCAAAAGTATTTTAAGCATCCAAGGACAGAGACAGACGTGTACTAGTATGTACATGGGTTTTGAAAATGGCAAGGATGGTCTTATGTACATATTTAAAATACTCCTAAAATCTGGCCCCTTGTTCTTACATGTGAATTTATAGAAGATGCAGTGAAAAATAAGTAGCAAGACTAAAACATCTCACTACATGCTTTTTGAAGCCTTTCCTGCCTTCTCTCTTTCTCCCATTCCTTCCTCCTTTCCCTCCCTCCTCCTTGTCCCCGCTTTCATTTGCTCTCACCCCCACTCTGGCTTTCATCTGCAATTTTGTGCACGAGTGTATTAGTAGATGTCTTGCTACACTAGCTCTGGAGGAGGAGAAAAGAATTATTTATAGATCAGGTTTACAACATGATGGATACATTTCATACAAATGTTTTTACTCCAAAAAGATGCAAATTTAGAGAAAGGAGGCACATTCTTCCATAATGCAATAAAAATGGAAAAGACAAGTTGAAAGGCAGCAGGGAAATTTACAGGCAAGCTGAAGGCAGAAAGCAAGCAAGCCTGAAACTATATTAAAAAGCCAACATATATTTAAGATGATATAAACACTAGAAGTAACTCAACATTTGAAAATGCACAGTGTATGTATGGATAAGTACATGACAGACACACACATACACAAAGATAGAAACCAAAGATTCTCCTACAACTGAAATCAAGATATTTTTTATATTAATTCACAAGGAGTAGGTTTATAGTTTCAGGTCAGTCGTCTTTACTTTGGAAAGATGTTTTTGTGTTCATTTGACAACAGCATTATGCATTTTTATCCCTTGCTGCTGCTGTGTATGTCCTTACCAAGCATTCATACTCAATCAATACCATCAGGAAGTCAAAGGAAGTTTGACTTGGCCTAAGGGTCAGGTATGCACAATCAACTTCCTATTAAAACGACAAAACTGCAGTAGCTCACGTATCGTTTCCGGCCTTCATCCTTCCAATGAAGCTGAAGATTTCAGACATTCATCGAACTCGGTCCTTCCTTTAACTGAAACACAGAATCAGAAAACTGAGTTATCCTAACAATAAAAAAAACCCAAACCGTAGCCAAATAAAATTTCATACAAGTCTAGTCTCCCACCCAGCATTTTGATTTATTTTTTTTTCTTTTTAAAAGGATTCAGTGCAAGTCACCATTACTCTTTTTAATATAATGCTGATAAGGTCATTATTACCAAGTCTAGACGTTCAAAAAACGTCTAGATGTGGCACTTCAAGACATGGTTTAGTGGACAGGGTGGCATCAGGTGTACGGTTGGACTTGATGATCTTTGAGGTCTCTTCCAACCATAATGATTCTATGATTCTATGATTCTAAGTCACTAGCATACACAGGCAAGTTTCGCCTTTATAAAAAGGGCGGAGTCTCAGTGAAATCAAAAAGCTGTTCATCAATATTCTTATCTCTTTTCAGTAATTCTGTATTTGGCAGATGCCAAAAACCTAAAGTAATATTTGAGACACTGATTTTTGTTACTGCAATTTGCTTTGTTTCTCTCATATAAATTGCATCCAACCTGCTCTTACTTTCCACCCTCAAAAACTACACAAAACCTCAAAAATACGTTTGTCTCTGCTTTGTTGTAGTTTTCTACTTAGAGGCACAGAGGTCAAAGCTTGAAGAACAAAAGGAAAGACAGTGCCAGTCCTAAGGATATTACAAAACAAGAAGCAGATTTTGTCCTCCCCATCTTAGATTGAGTTGTACTTTACTTGAAACGTTAGCTTACTAGAACAGAAAGATATGAAAACATGAGCCACAGTAGCGAAGTCCATCTCTAGGCAAGGACACGTACTACATCAATAGCCTATGCTTATGTAAGTATCAAAGTAAAACATTACTGTTTCATTAAAAGGTTTAGAAATGCATTTAGCTTACAGACATTCTAATATGCTTTCATCAAAAGTTTCTTCCAACAAATCAGTATTTCCAGACCAAAAAAAAAAGACCCAGTCAAATTATTTTTGTAAAAACCTGAATCTTGCTAAATATTTTATTAAATGTTAATAGGAATTAAACGTGCACACTCCTGAGATACTAGTTTGCATGTTCACAATGCTCAGGCAAAATACACTGAAGACTTATGATTCACACAAAACCAACAAAACAATGTAAGAATAATTTATTCTCTATTGTTTGAATTAAATTAGAGCATCGACAATGAAGAATATTTTGGGGTTTTTTTAATTGGAAGTTTCCTCATGAGAATGTGTTGACACTGAAACTTCAGTAGATGGAACCTGACTCAACTTGAAACGTGTGCTCTGTGTGTGTGTGTACGAGTGTGTACTTAACACAATGATTACAGATAACATGACCAGTCTTCTCAAAATTTAAGCAGAGTACTAGAAGTTCAACTCTTTCTCAAAAGCTGAAATCTCATTAGGATGTTGCGATGTGAGCTGATGCAAAAACATTTACCTTGACTACTACTGTGGTCTCACCAGCGCTGAGCAGAGATGAATAATCTCTTCCCTTAACTTGCTGATGACACCCTAACGTGATGCCATTAGAATTCACAACAAGAGCACGATGCTGGCTCACATTCAGCTGGGTGTCCATTGGGACACCCATGTCCTTTTCTGCAAAGCTGCTTTCCAGTCAGCTTGTCTCCAGCACATACTTGTGCCTGAGGCTGTTCCTCCCCAGGGGCAGGTCTTTGCATTTCCCCTTGCTGAACTTCATGAGGTTCCTCTTCGTCCACTTCTCCAGGCTGTTGAGACCCCTCTGAATGGCAGCACAACTATCTGGCTTATCAGCCACCACTCCTAGTTTTGTATCATTTTCAAACCTGCTGAGTGTCCACTCTATCTCATCATCTAAGTCATCAATGACCATACTGAACAGCACAGACCCCAGTATCAACACCTAGGGTACTCCACTACTGACTTGCCTCCAAGTGGACTTTGTGCTGCTGGTCTCAAAGGGCTGAGGGTCTCAGCCAGTTTTAAATCCACCTCACTGTCCGTTTATCCAGTCCATATTTCATCAGTTTGCCTATGAAATGATCTGGCTGATAGTGTAACAAGCCTCTCCAAAGTCAAGATAAGCAACATCCACTGGGCTAATCACGTCATCATAGGCGGCTACCAGGTTGGTCAAGGTTGGTTTTGCCCTCGTATATCCATGCTGACAACACCCAATTACCTTCTTGTCCTTAATACGTTTGGAAATGGTTTCCAAGAATTTCTGCTATGTTACCTTCCCAAGGTACTGAAGTGAGGCTGACGAGCCTGTACTTCCCCACATTCTCCTCCTTGCCCTTCTGGAAGGCAGGAGTGAAATTCACTTGCTTCCAGTCCTTTGAAACCTCCCAGGTCACCATGACCTTTAAGAACTTATCGAGAACAGCCTTGCAATGACACTGTCCAGCTTCCTCAGCACTTCATGGGTGTATCCCAACAGCTCCTAGGCATTTGTGAATGTTCAGTAGTCTCTTTAAGCATGACCTAACCTGATACTCTCATATCAAGGGTAAGCCTTCACCATGCCACACTTTCCAACTGGTCTTAGGGGGCTGGGATTGCTGAGGGCAAATCTGACCAGTAAAGACTGAAGCAAAAAACATTGAGTGCTTTGGCCTCTTTGATGTCCTTGGTCATCATGTCCCCTGCCCCATTCAGGTCCACATTTGCCCGAGCCTTTCTTTTGCTGCAGATATACCTATAGAAGCCCTTCCTGTTGCATTTATGTTCCTTACAGGACACACCTCCCAACGGGCTTTGGCTTTCCTAACCCCATCACTACATGCTCACTCTATTCCTCTGGGTTACCTGTCCCTGCTTCTACCTCCTGCATACTTCCTTTTTATTGAGTTTTGCCAGGAGCTCCTCATTCATCCATGCAGGCCTCCTGCCACCATCACTTGATTTCCTGCGCATTGGGGTGGACCGTCCCTGAGTTTGGAGGAGGTGATCTTTGGAAATCAACCAGATCTCCTGGACCTCTCCTCTCCAAGAGTGTCCTACATGACAGTCTTCCAAGCAAGTCCCTGAAAAGGCCAAGGTCTGCTCACCTGAGCTTCCACAGCAGCACTCTGGTCATGTGAGCCACGTCTGTGATCCCAGTGAGATCATCACCTTGCAACTTCATGAAAGTCTCTAATTCCTCCTCTTGTTTCTTCTCCACACTCCACGCATTAGTGTACAGGCACTTCAGATCAACACTCAGTCATCTTGATTCCCAGGAAAAAGCAAGAGCTTCTCCCATAAAGCTTTCTTGTTGGCACTCACTTATTTCTGTGCAAACACTTCAGGTGGGCCCCCTTCAGCCATGTTTAGCAATTTTTGAGGTTTCGCTCATCCACATCACCCTGCACCCCTTCCTTGCCAAACTGGTTCACCTATTCATCCACAAGCAACAGGAAGAAGCATTCTTTGCTCTTAAGAAGCTTAAAAGCAAGGCAGACTAGAAAGCGGTGGTAGCATTGCCATATTACCCACAGACACTGAGTGCTTTGGTCACAGTCACTCAAAAGTCTGCAGCAGAGCCACAAAAAAAATCCTCAGACATTGTTTTGAGGGGCAGTGATTTGTCCATGAAAGCAGTCTCCTCCCAAAATGCAGCTGAAGCGCAAGCAGTACTTTGCAGTCTTAAGATTTTAAAAGAATTCCTGTTTTGTTTTTGAAAATACACATACCTGAACTGATGGTGAAATGGTTACAAATAACATCCCCTCACCTTCTTGGAACAGTACCGTACAGTACCAGATGTCTAATGATTTTCTATCTCTTATATTTTATATTCCCCATAGGAATCTGATAGCTGTGGATACAGATGAGATGAGATACAGGTTCAGGCAAGTATGACAAGATCTGATTTTCATTAGTGCTGAGACATTCCACCTTCCTGGACTTTCATGTGGGTGGTGGACACTTAGCTACTCCATAAATCAGAACGGCATTTCTCAGTTAAGTTCTTTTATTGCAGTTTCTTTCTTTAGGCTACTTGAGAAAGATATTGAATACACAGCCAAGTAGCACTAAAATATTCTATTGTCATAACCTCCTGATATACGACTTGCCAGTAGTGCAACATGTAGACATTTATCAAACATGTACGTTGCACTTGTTCCCTTACGTGAAATGAACTTTAAATGAGCTTTACAAACTTTGTCCTAAACGACAGTAAAATCTGGCTTTTAAACTTTCTTTAAAAATCAACATTTATTTTTGACTATGTGAACATATTGTTCCAAACTGGCAAGAGCTGCTCATTTACATCTTTAACATCAACAGAATGCTGATCATAGTAAACAGTCTTTATTGCAAACAAGAACGTGTCGTTAATTAGTAAGAGAGACCCTCAGTTCTCTGCTAGCCTGAGTGGGATGAACCACAGATTTCTATAAAGAGGATAAATTACAATTGCATCCTATCAAACAGAGCATCTCCGAACAAAGAGTTATGCTGCAAGATCTCTGAAACCTAATTTTCGCCTCAAAGCATTTGGGCGTAGGGTGGAGGGGGTTTAGAGCAATCTGTTTATTTCAAATAGCTCTGAAAGTGCTTACAGCTCCTCAAAGTAGAATATCCTAGGGCCAAATCCTACTGTCCTGAGTGAAAGCAGAAACCAGTAAGGGCAGGCCAGCCTTGTTCCTCATCAGATTTAACTCTAAAAATGAGATCTGGAACAGGGGAGGGCAGACCAGCTCTTCACCTTCTCCAGACCAGCTCTTAACTTCAGAACTGCTCTGATAAGTAAATTTTTTAGGATTTGTCACACACAGCATGTATCAAAGCCAAATGACTTAAATGTATTTGAAATTCTATCAGAATTATGAAATAATAAGGTTTTTAAATTCTAGATTACAGCTCACTGCCTTTAGGGGAGCTCACCTCTTAAATAATCCTGTGTCATTTTTCACCCAGGTCATTTTTCCAGATTTGCAATCAGTGAGGACATCTCCTAAACTCCAGTATAACGAGGACAAAAACCCCAAATCAAAATTCTCTCCAGACAAGCCAAGTCTGAGAGCAAATATCAAAGAAGAGGGGAAAATAAAAACCCTTCGTTAACAGGACAGCTCCTGTTTTGTAGCTGATTTTGTTAATGCCTATGATGTTAGCAAAACCAAGCCTGCCCCTTGGTAAAAAAATATGCCTTTGATTTCACTCTCTTTTGGGAATATTTGGGGGAAGAAAAAAAAAAACCTCTCACTGAAAAAAAGTCATAAGATATAAACTACACTTGTTGCACTGCTTGTTTTTCTTTTAAGCCTGAGGATAAGCCCTGCCACCACAATGTTACTGGAAAATTGATTCAATTTTCTTCAATTATCTCTTCAAGAAAACAAAGAATCACAAACTGGCAGTCAGCTAAGCAGCTTTCCCCTGCCCCTTGATAAAGAAGACAACAGTGCACACACATTTCTGACTTACACAACTTCGGATATAGATGGCCTGTGCTGTAAACTCTGTGACACACATTGTTATTCCTACGCTCCCTGGCTTCATAAACAAACAAAGCTTCTGAGCCTCATCTATGCCTGGAGAACCCGAGGAGAAAACTATCTTACGAATGACACAGGTGACAAGGGAATCCTAGTTCTTGCTTCTTCAGAAAGTTTGACCCAGTGAGAACAACTACTGAATCCCAATGAGGCCCAAGTTCAAAGAAGTTCCTGTACCCACACTATTGGCCTCAGCAGACTATGAAAACTTTGCTAAACTAAACACAACAAGAGACACTGAAACTAAGCAGCTAGAGGGGTCCCTCTCATCCACTATTGCACTGATAATAGTGCTGATTATAATTTTCTCTTTGATAATGACATCCCTAGTAACCTACTGTTTTCACAAGTGGAAACTGAGAGGTAAAAAACTGCAGAAAGCACAAGAGGAGTATCAGAAAGACCACGAAAAGAGCATTTTTCAAAGCACGCCTGGACTTGTTTCATAAAAAAAAAGGATCCACCATGAAATACTCTTGCATTATCTGAAAATGAAAATAATAAAAGAATGGCACCTATGAAATGCCCAAGCAAATATACCTTTGTTTTATCTCATTTATAAGAGTTGTTAGCCGTTTGGAGATTTCCTACAGCTTTATTACACATAGATATATTTATATACTTAGTCTCATTTGTGCAAAGTAAAACCAACACAATCATGTATTTTTCATCTCTTATTGTATTACTGAAACCAGTACATTTAAATCTGTTGCTAACACTCT